TCTTAGCTGTCATATGTGGAAACATTGTTCTATTGTAATGTTCCTAGCACAATGGCTAATTATCATGTGGGTAGCAGAGGGAAAGCTTCTATGGGGAACTGCAGCAAAGGTCAGACTAGAGATAAGTCAGACATACAGGCATAGAGACAGTCTCCAAATAAGGTCAGGTAGAGTAAAGATACCTTCTGTGGGGATTGGGAGGAGTCCTCCACATTCCTGAGCACAGAGAGAGCTTCCAGGCCATGGTAGACTGCAACCACTGATCTTAGGGCCTTCCAATAATTAATTACCAAATTAGTTATCATATACCAGTGGTATCTCCATGTGGCTTTGATCTGTACTTTGCTATTTAATATTGATCATGTCTGTATATGCCCTATAGGCATCTTAGTAGTATATTGACACATAGTCCTTCATCAAATATCTGTTCAGATCATTTATCCCTCTTCGATTAGGTTATTTGCTTACTCCTGGCCCTGCCACCTCCTGGAGGAAAACCCATCCTCCAATTTTAGAGCCATTATTCCCTTGCATTTAAAACTTTGCTCAGCCATATCTTTCAAGATAAAATATTTTTTATGTTTTGCTTCCTTATAAGCTTTAGAAAAATGAATTCATGCTGCATGCACTCTTCACCATTAGAACCCCCAAATGTTTTTCTAAATTTAATTTGGCAAAATCAATTGCTTTCCAAAGAAGAACCAATTATTTTCTTTAAGTGAAAGCTAACTTCAAGAAATAAGAAGAATGATGAGATACAAAGCTGCTGGTTCTTTGAAGGTCATAAGAGTGACAGAAAGATGTACCTGATATTTGTTAACATTGACTGCTGAATTAATCTGGCAGTAGAATACAGAGACATGTGCATCTACGTAGTCCTACTTTTACAGGATTTTGGTTTTTTTTTTTTTCAGTATATGAGATGAATTTCTGTGTTTTTTTATGTATTTTACTTTGAATCTGTTAATTATGTCTCTTATTCATCTCAGTGATTTTAAAATGCTGTTTCCTACCCAACAAAATTTTGAGAACTGATCGTCTGGAATTGAGATTAAGATTAGACTGAGAAGCCTCAGATTAAGGCCTGAGGACTCTCTTGAGGATGTGTTAATGAGTTTGAGCAAAGGAAACTGGGGATATTTATTTTGATTCTTAGCTTTATGGGTAGAGATGTTGTAATTGAACTTGAAAATATACTCTTTGAACCCTTACTCTGACTTTTTGATGGACAAAGAACAAATCACCTTATTTTTAAATTTTCTGAGTGGGATTAAGGATTCATTTATTACAACATAACATAAAATATCTCTAATTCACTCAATAACTTGTATTATATAAAGAAACTTACCAAACTATCAAGTCACTCTTTGATGGCATCTAAATATATGAAAAACTAAATGGTTTGTTTAGGCATCCGAGATGAGATATAAGACTTCTTAGGTGGAAAAAGAATGAACAGGCCTGAGAGGAGGAGTTGATTTGGTCAGAAGTGACCCTGGTAAGAGACAGAAGAGTCCTTCCAAGAGATCAGATAAGGAAAGCTTCCATATCCTTGGGCAGGAAAGGTCCAAGTGACTAGTTGTGCATGAGAAAAAGTTCACCCAATAGGAGAGAAATCATGCCTAGTACTGGGAACTTATCCAAATTCCTGGAGATAATGAGGTCATAGATCTTAGGTCTTCTACTACTGCTTTACTAAACAAGCATAATTGTGAAATGCATTCTGAATATCTGTCTTTATAACTACAGATAAATATAGCTACCAATTCTCCTCAAAGGAATGTCTCTTTGTAACAAATGAAGAAAACTATAACTGATCAAAATATAGAGAACAACCAGTTGTGGAGTTCCCAGTCTCATTGGAAAAACATCACAGAAGATTGGCCAGAATGAATGAAAGGTCCCGAGGTCCAGGATATCTGCTGTGAGGTCTTTTCTCCTATAACTGAGAATGAAGCTTCATTCAAAATACCTAAACACGTGGTTTTTAAGCAAGACTCAAATGGGTAAAACACCAGTAGACATGATAACACGGAAGGGAGAAATATAACAGGGATCCACACCTAGACAAAGGAAAATGGACAGTTAATGACTCCCATAGATAAAGCGCCTAATTGGTTATCCAAAACCAAGTCTTCAGTCCTGAAATCATTACATTCAAGAAACACTAAAGAGACTAAGCAGGTTGAATTTATAAATTTATGCATCTACATACATATAGGCCAAGAGTTTGAGGGGAAGTAAAGCAGAGCAGGTTTGGAGGGGGAAGCAGAAGTGAGTGTGGGGATTGATGTAATTATGTCTTAATTTTGAAAAAAAAAAAGAAAGTCCAGGAAGATGAGTTGGAAGATAACCTATCTCAGCGCTCAAATTTGATCACCATAAAAGCCTTATTTAGCACTGTGGATGCCATTGAAAATAATCAGTTTGCCATGAGATGGTATATACCATGAAATAGTTAGTGTATGTAGAAGGAAACTTGAAAAGGAAAATGTTCTCCTCCCTCTATGTCTAGAGAATAAAAATGGGGTGGGTAATCAGTGAATGAAACTATAAAATAAGAGTTGAGAATCTACTGACTTGTGTCCTGCTTGCTTGATCAGGTTCCATGGGTTTGTGTGAACTAACATAGGCAGGTTTGTCTCTTTTTGTGCTTAATGTAACTTAACTCATGCGGAACACACTTATGGCCTTAGTGACCCCTGGATTTGGCATAAGGTTTAAACCTCCAGGCAGGGAGACATTCTCAGAATCAAGATTTCTACAACATCTTACTGTCTTAGATGGCTTAGCCTACATCAGATACCATCAAGGAGACAGGAAAAGGAAATAATTTCACTGTTCTGTTGATATTTCTTTCAGCTGTTTAGAAATTTATAGATGTAATTACTATAGACAAGATTAAGGCAAAAGAGTGTACCAATCAGATACTTTGGTTGTAGTGAAGTTTAAAGTCACTCAAATTCACAAGGGAGTAAAAAATGTATTGATTTTTAAAAATTATATAATTAACTTTCCCAAGTATATTGATGTAGGATAAAATTAATACTTGCATATTAAATAATAATGAAACTACTATACTTAAATTCTTTGGGAGCTTACTACTTTAGCTATATATGTACTTTCATTTATGTATAGGACTCTTGTAGGTCATAGCTCATAAGATTCTACCACCTCTAGGAATCAGTTCATTTCTTTTATTCGGATGTAGGAAAATAACACAAAGTGATAAAACTAGCATTTGAACTTGAGTCTCTTCTTATTATTGCCTTTTCTTTTTAATTATGTGTAGAGTGTGTATGTGTGGAGGGGTTGTGTGCACAGAGGTCATAGATATCAGATCCCTGGAGCTGGAGTAACAGGCATGTTGAGGTGCATGACACAGAATTCAGGTTGTTTTCACGAGCAGGACATAGTCTCTTTACTGCTCAGCTACCTCTCCGACCCTTAAGTCTGTTTTTCTGATGGCCTATCTGCTGTTTTCATCCCTTCTCGTCATTCTGTGTAGCCTTTAGCAGTCTTTTCTAATATATACAAAGCAGTGGGTAGACTGTAGCAGTTAACTGAGCTGGTACCACATGTGCCCATCTCGGTTCTAAAGATGAGAATTTTGTGGGATGTTTCTGGAGGTGAGGGCCACTGGGAAGGAGAGAATCTCAAGCTTAGGTCAGGACGTCTCTGTGGAAAAGCAAAGATCCAAGACTTATTTCCTATGTCTAAGGAGTCATGGCATAGTCTTGAGAGGACAGCTGCAGCCTGAGCTGAGTGAGCACTATCGCAGTGACCTAGTGAGCATCCCAGCCTAGCAGGCAGAAGACTGAGTAGAGGCAAGCTGGCTTCTGGGTTTCCCCAAAGTGTCCTGGGGGTAGGCCACCTGGAGCTCTGCAGCAGAAGGCAACTGTCACTCAGACTTCCTATTTCAGGATAGTTCAGGCTGATGCATTTCTAGGGCCCATAATAGAGCAGTTCCTTCTGTTGTGCAAAGAAAATCTTTCCCAAATTACAGAGAGGTGGAAAACAATTAGTGAGCCATTAGCTCCCAGAGAGGACCTTGGGAGAAGTGTCCTGAGATTTTTCCTTCCCCCAGGACACGGAAACAAGGGTCTATTTTCCTTTCCTTGTTTTGGTTATCTCTTCAGAAAATCTGTTAGAACTCAATGTGAACATTTAATTGAGGTTTTGGTTGTCTAAGTATCTTCCAAGAGACAAAAAAAAAAAAAATGTCCAAAGAAAGAAAACTAAAACAAATTTTTAAGTAGATACATATAAAGTAAGTTTGTGCATATTAATACAGTATGTGTTATGTTTCCATATATTGATGTTTCACATTAACTTATGCATGTCCATCATTTCTAAAATTATGTCTCTATACTGAAAGCTTTCAAATTCTTTTCATCTGAAATGTTCAGAACAGTTTTTTTTTTTTTTTTTTTTTTTTTTTCTATGAGCACTGGAGGAGCAATGCTGGATTAGAGCTCCTGTTTCTACTTAGCGACAACATATTGCTTGTTCACCCATAACCAACACTTCTGGGCTGGAGAGATGGCTCGGGATTTGTTCCTGCAGAGGACCTAGATTTGAAAGTCAGCATCCACATGGGAGATCTCAACTGTTAGAGACTAAGAGAGCTCCAACTCCCCAAATTCCAAAAGGCAGTTCAATGAGTGCAAGCTGAACTATGGAGGATTTCTTTCTGGTGATCAGATAAAAGCCAGCATTCCTCGGAAACCTGTAGACTAGTTTCCCTCTACCAAAAGATGTCATTTCCCTTACCTTCTGGCAAGAGGGACATATGGATGCCTGTAGTATCTATCTGCATATCAAAGCACATGTTGGGCGCTGCTGGTGTGGACGCGGACTTCGCTGGGACAGCCCCTCCCGCTGCTCGGTGGCGGCACCTGCCCAGCCGCCCCTCCGCTCGCAGCCCGCCCCGCCACTCCGGACCCGGTTTTCAGAGCCTCTTCATCCCAGTTCCGGGCGAGCCGCGTTGGGTTTATGTCTTTATTTGACGAAAACGAGCTGTTGCGCAGCCATTGGTACCTGTATTGGGGAAACGTAGCATACAAGCAAGAAGCTTACAGCCTCAGCGGCGAAAATTTTTTCATGTCAGAGACCGAGAACTCTTGCAGTCGTTTATGTCATCCCTTCTTCTCCAGACAGAAGATACCAAAAGTTGCAATCAAAGATCTGTTCATCTTATTGATAAAGTCACTAATAAGCCAAAATGTCTGTCAACGTCAACTGCAGCGTGTCAGACCAGTTCTATCTCTACAAGATGCCCCGTCTGATTGCCAAGGTTGAGGGCAAAGGAAATGGAATCCAGACAGTTATAGTCAACATGGTTGACGTTGCAAAGGCGCTTAATCGGCCTCCAACGTAACCCACCAAATATTTTGGTTGTGAGTTGGGAGCACAGACCCAGTTTGATGTTAAGAATGACTGCTACATTGTCAATGGATCTCATGAGGCGAATAAACTGCAAGACCTGTTGGATGGATTCATTAAAAAATTTGTTCTTTGTCCTGAGTGTGAGAATCCTGAAACAGATTTGCATGTCAATCCAAAGAAGCAAACAATAGGTAATTCTTGTAAAGCCTGTGGGTACCGAGGCATGCTTGACACACATCATAAACTCTGTACGTTCATTCTCAAAAACCCACCTGAGAATAGTGACAGTGGTACAGGAAAGAAAGAAAAGGAAAAGAAAAATAGAAAGGGCAAGGACAAGGAAAATGGCTCCGTATCCAGCAGTGAGACACCAGCACCTCCACCACCAAATGAAATTAGTCCTCCTCCACACGCCGAGGAAGAGGAGAAGGATGATGATTGGGGGGAGGATACAACTGAGGAGGCTCAGAGGCGCAGAATGGATGAAATCAGTGATCATGCAAAAGTCTGACACTCTGTGATGATTTGGAAAGAACTGTAGAAGATCGTGTTAATATCCTGTTTGATTTTGTTAAGAAAAAGAAAGAAGAGGGCATTATTGATTCATCTGATAAAGAAATTGTTGCTGAGGCAGAAAGACTGGATGTAAAAGCCAAGGGTCCTCTCGTTTTGACTGAAGTTCTCTTTAATGAGAAGATAAGAGAGCAGATCAAGAAATACAGGCGCCATTTCTTAAGATTTTGTCATAACAACAAAAAGGCTCAGCGGTACCTTCCTCATGGTTTGGAATGTGTGGTAGCCATGCATCAAGCTCAGCTGATCTCCAAGATTCCACATATCTTGAAGGAGATGTATGATGCAGACCTTTTAGAAGAAGAGGTTATCATCAGCTGGTCGGAAAAGGCCTCTAAGAAATATGTCTCAAAAGAACTTGCCAAAGAGATTCGTGTCAAAACAGAACCATTTATTAAATGGTTGAAGGAAGCAGAGAAAGAATCTTCTGGTGAGGAAGAAGATGAAGATGAAAATATTGAGGTGGTATATTTGAAGACTGCCAGTGTACCAAAAGTTGAAACTGTGAAGTCTGACAAGAAGGATGATGACATTGATATTGATGCCATTTAAAAGGATGGATACAACTTAGCTTAACAGTGTAATGCTGCAAATTTTTCTCCATTATCAGCCAGAAGTGCAACATGTATGTGCAAAAGCTAAAATGGCTTAACATCATGCTACACTTGATACTAAAAAGCTATTACTGTGAGTGGTCTATAATTAAGCCCAATGAGACATCTAGGGAGTCCATACATAACAGTGAACAGTTGTAGCTTGCTTATTTATAGCATGTTTCTTTTGGAAAAACTAGTGGTGGACACATTTGGATCACATTTATACAGTTATAAAAAATAAAGATTTGATTTTGGTCATTCTTCAGACTTTGGGCTCTGAGTGGCTTATACTGAAGTGATTGGCTACTTTTAGGATGTTACACCGTTTATTAAGGTCCTTGAGCCTGGTAGATTGTAGGTGCTGAAACTTGCAGAATGTAAACAATTGTAATGATCTTACTCAGCCATTAAGAAATGGAGTGTTTTAAAAGTTGTGTCTCCAGTCCCCATCTGTTAAGATTGGAAACTGACAATTTTTGTCATCCTAAGGGAGGCTGATGAATAAATGACAGTATGACATCTTCATGAGCTGTAAAGACCTGTGTGTCCTACGGTTTTAAGAGCAAGTTTTGAAATTTGGAGTTGTGGCTTTTCAGTTTGTGTACACTCACCCCAAATTGTAATCTTTGGAGTCATGTGCATTGCACGTTGGATGAGCCAGGGAAATAATTGACAAGTATTTTGTGTGTTATTTAGTGGTTGCTTTGTACTGAAAGAAAAGCTTTGAGGTGTGATTAAATCATAAACTCTGATTCTATTTGGGAGAAACAGGAAAAGGTGCACTTAATATCTAGCTAACACAGCATAATTTTTCAGCTTTTACCCTTAAATTATAATTTCAGAATGTTTTGACATACTCTATCTTGTTTTTGATGTGTTCTCCTCTTGCCCCCAATATTATGGCTTATTCTTCAATGCCTTTTAATTTGTATGTAATAGCTTGTACTTTAGATTTTGGTTGCTGTCTTGCCAAAATAAGTGTTATTTTGTTTCAAGCTTGATCCCCCTCCCCCTAACTGTCTTATTTAAAGAGAAAGTTAAAATCATACTTCTGAGTCAGAGCCTGTATTTTGGTGTAAGACTTGGGATATTTTTTACTTCATGTTGATATAGCTGGGCACCTGAGAGTGGGTACAGTTGCTAGGGCCTGACCAGCCCGTTCAGAGCCTTGAACTACACACAAGTGAATTTCTTACCTGCTATCTGGTGTAAATTCCATCTGGGTTCCTGATTGTGTTTGCATACTTGTCTTCAACATTAAAAACTAGTTAGCGTATACTTCCACAAGTGCATTCTAGGAGCTAACCCATGTGGTTAATTTGTCTGGCAAATTACATTGTTTAGCTTATAACATTGTTTAGATTTTACCTTGTGTCATCCATCTCACAGATTATAAAACTTTAATAAATGTATGTAAAATTTTTGCATTGAAGTAATACAAATAATTTGGTAAAATTAAAACCTTGAGTCTGCTGAGCGTGGAATGGGAGCCATATACCTGGAATGGATACTAACAAGGAAATGTGCAGTGTCACACCAAAGAAGAAGCATTTGCAAACTCACTCCTAGGTTTCAGATTCTTTGTTGCATGGCCTCCCATCCATTTGTTACCATTTTCTGAGACTGTCAAGTAGATCAGCACATTGAGCCTCAGGCTGTTACAGTCAGGTCTTCAATACTTGGAAGGATCTTGGGCTTCAGCCACTGTTCCGTCAGGTGCCAAGCCAGTGGGATTCAAATTCACACAATCTGGGTTCATTGCTCTATTGAGGTGTCCTAAAAAGTTTCCTGTTTCAAACAGCTACATTACTTGATTAAAACAATGTTAAAATTAAAAACAAAAAACAAAAAACAAAGCACATGTTGTCCTCCAAGATCCCTCAGCATCAGAAGTACCTGTTACACATTTCAATAGTCCTCCCTAGCATGCTAGCCCTTCTCACCTTGCACCTACCCTATACTCCCTCCAGCTCAGAGGCTTCTCTCCCCACGCCTACTCATTCTCCTTATATCCCTGCTATTCTTTCTCGGTTCTCCCTGCCTCCCTCTCTGACTTCCTCCTGCTTCCCTCACTATGATTTCTCTATCCCCTGCTATCTTCCACTCTCTCACAGATAGCGCTGGCCATGTCCAGGCAACTGCCCATGTCCAGTCTACTTTCTCTCTCTGTTCTGGACTCTTCTGCATGCCTCTAGCTGTTTTATCTCTCATTTCTACAATAAAAACATTTTCCTAATCATAATATTGATCAGTCATGACATCAATTTACACAGTGCCCATCTGTAACTCCATTTACAGGGGATCTGATACCATCGTTTGGCCTCCTCCAGAACTGCATGCATGTAGTACACTGACATACATGCAGGCAAAATACTCATACACACAGAGAGAAACATCTTTTAAAAAATTAGCATTTCCCTACCCTGGTTACTCAGCCTCTGGTAACCACAACTGTCCACTTGATATCTTCTTCTTCTTCCTCTTCCTCCACCTTCTTTTTCTTCTGATATTTTAAGACAGGGTTTCTCTGTGTAGTCCAGGCTGTCCTGAAACTTCCTTTGTAGACCAGGCTGGCCTTGAATTCATAGATCTGCTTGCCTCTGCCTCCCAAGTTCTGGGATTAAAGGCATTTAACACCACTCCTGGCTCCTCTTCTATGAATTCAACTTTCTTAAAAAAAAAAAAGACTTAAATGCATTTTTAAAAGCTGATGTTGCCATATTGTTGTATTTTTTTTCAGAAAAAATTGAATCTGAAGTAATGGGAACAAATCAAACACGGCATGCCAATAAAAAACACACACTATAGCTATCTGGATGAGTATAGCTAAGGGTTACTTTTTCTTTGAATAATCTTTTTTGGGCATTCTTAAGTCTTTGTTGAGCACTATACCAAATATTTGCTGTTTTAACCTTGTACTAAAGTTTCTGCCAGCTTTTTTTACTCCATTTTCTTCCCCAATTGGATATTGCTAAATGGGTTATGTTTCTGTTGATTTACTCTTTTTTTTTCTTGTTGACCTATTCTGTGATGTGTACCTTCTAAGATCCTTTTAATTTCTCTGAGTGCATTTTAATTTCAAGGATTTCTGTTATAATTTTAGATTGCTTTCATGTCTATTAGAATTCTCTCAGAAAGAGCTGATACTTCTCTGTTTTTTTTTTTTTTTTTTTTTTACAAATTCATTTAGTTTCTCCTAAAGAGCTCTTTCTATTGTTTTTTAACTTAATTTTTTTCATATAGTGAACTTTGGTAATATTTTTTCTCCCACCAAATCCTCCCAGACACCGTCCAATCAAATTAATGTTTTTTGTCTTTCTTCAAAGCACAAAAGCAAAAATCCAAAACAAGCCAAAGAAAACAAACAAATTACACAAAACAAATAAAAAAGGACAAAAATCTAGTCTGTTTTGTGTTAGTTACTTCCAAACATCAGGCTCTCCCTGGAGCATGGTTTGTATCCCACACAGACCCTCCCTCCGTTGAAGAAAGCTGATTTTCTCCCCCCCCCCCCCTTTGTTACCAGTCACAAAAGCCTTTTTGGTTAGGGGTGGGACTTTGTGTGTATTCCCCTTTTCCAAGCTGGGATTTTGTATGGTTTGAACTAGTGCATGTCATTCATGTGCCATTATAGTCTCTGAGTTCATATGTTTATCAGTTGTGTTTTGTTTGGAAAGCTGTTTCTTTGGAGTTGCCCATTACCTCTGGCTCATACAATCATTTTGCCCTTTTACATAGAACCTTGAGCCTTGAGAGAAGGAGTATGACAAAGAAATCCTATTCAGAACTGAGAGCTTCTAAGTCAATTGTTCTTAGCACAATTGTCCAGTTGTAAATCTCTGTTAGTTACCATGTATTAGAATCACACTCTAGTTTGTGGGTCTAGCATATGTCATTAAAAGTAATTTTATTACTGTGTTCATATAGTAGAATAACAGTAGTAGGTTTTCCCCTAGTCTAGTCTCAGGTTCTTGGCCTCATTAACAGTTGATAGTATGGATTCCAGGTCTTAAATCCAATTAAAAAAAAAAAAACAGGCCGGGCGGTGGTGGCGCACGCCTTTAATCCCAGCACTCGGGAGGCAGAGGCAGGCGGATCTCTGTGAGTTCGAGACCAGCCTGGTCTACAGAGCTAGTTCCAGGACAGGCTCCAAAGCCACAGAGAAACCCTGTCTCGAAAAACCAAAAAAAAAAAAAAAAAAAAAAAAAAAAAAAAAAAAAAAAACAGTTGGTTACTCCTGTATATTTGTGCCTTCTCAAAATCCCAGAAGACTATAGGTTTAGGAAAAGACTGAATACTTTTAAGCACTGTTTCAGGAATATAAAACTTCTACTTTGTGAAAACATATCTCCTTTGAAAGCAAGTGCACATATTTTTGAAAATACAAGGATTCCATCATTCATAAATTCCTAATTGGTTTTATATCCTGATCATGCATTTGTCTCTGGTGTTACTAGGATCAGTTTTTGCTGACAAGAATTTTATCTTAAAGGGAAAAATAAGTCAGAATAGACTTCTCTTCTTCTATTGAAAAGACTGGTGATCCGATTAAAAATGTATACCTTCCAATCATTTTACTAATTGCTTTAAAATATTCTCAAGGCTTATTCATACATTTTATGAGTTGTAAAGCTCATAAAAATTTAATTTAATAATTAATTATTAAGATAGCAGTGAATGTAGAAAGAAATCTCATTTGCTATATTATCATTTACAAAAATAGCAAAAAAAACCCTCCTAATTTGTGCAATTGTATTTCAACTGACACATATATAAATCTTATACTCATCTTGACAAGAATTAATTCCAGAACTGCAAAAATAAAAAAAAATATTTACTGAAACTAAAGTTACTTTGTCCTTTTCTTGATAAAGGAAAAAAAATTGGGTTTTTGGAGGTTTTGTATGCAAACAAAAGATTCTTATCTATGCTTGCTTGCTTTCTGCCCTTATAGGTAGTAATTAGTGGAAATGAGCTTCATTTTAACTAGAAATATTTCTCTTGACTTTATTAAAGACAACAAGCAATTCTCTGGCAGCCCGAGTTAGTAGAACTTTATAATGCCTACTAGGAGAAAACATTAGGTTGTAAAAAGATAACCGCTATTCAAATAGCATCTGGCTTTCTGATTACCAGTGATTTTGGTTGGGTCTCAGCATTTCAGTGTGCAGAAAGGTGGGCACACTGGACTAGTTGAGTAGATAACAAAGACATCAGGGAAGTCTAGGTGCCATCACTAACTCCCCATGGTTCTTAATTCATCTG